AGATCAGTGTAGTATCTGTGCATACTATCTAGAATCAGAAAATTACTACTTGGCCCTCTACTTCAGTTCAGTGTAGTATCTGTGTAGTCTAGAATTTGACTATTATCCTTGGCCATCTGCCTTATATCAATATAATATCTATTCACAGTACCTGCTGCTCTATAAACCCCTGCTTAGGATCAGTGTAGCATCTGTGTAAATCTAAAACCTGAGTCCCACTCTCTAATTTGGATCAGTGTATTATCTGTGCACTGTACCTAGGATCAATGATATTCATGGCACTCTGATACAGATCAGTGTATTATCTGTGCACTGTACCTAAGATCAATGATATTCATGGCCCTCTGATACAGATCAGTGTAGTATCTGTGCACTGTACCTAGAGTCTGAATATTGATCCCTGGCACCCTACTTCAGATCAGTGGAGTATCTGTGTATCCTACATAAAGCTAAAGTGTTTCTTCCTGACCCTCTGTAACTGATCAGTGTAGTATCTGTGCACTGTACCTAGAGTCTGAATCTCAAACTCTGTCTGTCTACTTCAGATCAGTGCGGTATCTGTGCATCATACATAAAAATCAAAGCATTGTTCACAGGCACTCTGCTTCAGATCAGTGTATTAACTGTGCATTGTATCTAGAGTCTGAATATCAATCTCTGGCTCCCTACTTCAGATCAGTGTAGTATCTGTGCACTCTAACTGGAATCAGAGCATCGATCGCTATTCCTTTGATTCATATCAGTGAAGCATCTGTGGATTCTACTCAGAATCATAGTCTTGTTCCCTAGCCTTCTTCGACAGATCAGTGTAGTATCTGTGCACTCTACATAGAATAAGAATGTTGATCGCTATTCCTCTGATTCATATTAGTAAAGAAACTGTGCACTCTATTCAAAATCATAGTCTTGTTCCCTAGTCTTCTTCCTTAGATCAGTGTAGTATCTGTGCACTTCATTTTCATAACCCTGTTTGCCTTAATGAACAAAGTTTCAGATTAATGATTAACAAAGACGTTAAGAAAACCTTATACTGTTCATTATTACTTGTAGTCATAGTACAACAGCCAGGAGGATATCTATGGAGAAACAGAGCCTATGGCAAACATTGAAATTGCACCTGTGACCACATATTTCATAGGGTGACACCCATGTTTTAGATAGCTTTACCAAAATACCAGCTCATAAATACAAGTCAAGCCCGTTAATGTTTTAATTAACAAATTATAGTGTTACATGACAATTACATCTCTGTCTTCTTTGCTGTCACTGATACAAATTGATCTATGATGGTTTGCTAAGTGCAGTGCAGATGTGGCACAATGCCGAAAGTATGCGGCACCCAGTGAGGATCAAACTCACTATTTAGTTGTAATTGATCTAACACAGTGGTTCACAACCCTTTTTTTGGAATGCCCCATCTAAGAATCTCTAAAGTTCTGATGCTCACCCCAGTAACAATATAAATTCTTCTTATTCAACAAGTGAACTCCTTTTTTATGTGGAAGAAGCTTAAAATGCCATTAACTTGATCTGAACAAGATTCAAAAAAACATGGCATCCATGAAAGAGAAAAAATAAAAGAACAAAAGGGCAATTGAAGTACAAAGGAATAAATTACAAAGAAATTCTTAAAGAAATAAATATATATATATATACATATATATACAGTACATACATACTCACAAATATTATGTATGCATACAGGATATGTATATGCACAGACACTCATACTCACACACGCTTGCTAGAAAAAGATTCACAATTAATAACTCATTCTTGAATTGCCCACACCCCACCTTAAAAATCATCCTCCCCTGTGAGGTGTGCACCCCACATTAAAACCACGGATTGCACACACACTTATACTCACGCACACTCACCCAGAAAAAAGATTCACTCTTAATAGCTCATTCTTGAATTGTCTCACCATAAAAATCAAATTGCCCCACATTGGAACCACAGATCTAATGTAACAGGCTTACTAACCATGACAGGATATCGAAGTGCCGAAACTGGCCTATTTTTGACTGAAAACTAATTTTTCATTTTGTTCTCTTTCTACATTCAAGCACAATTATGCGGTCAACCGTGACACATAAAATCTCTCCTTGGGGACTAGTGAGGACTTCATAAAAACTCTGAGGTATTTTAGTGGCTGTAGAAAGAATGGACTGGAAAGTGAGAATGTGTTGTTTTGGTGCAAGGAATATTGTTGTTTGTTTGGGTCAGTGTTTGTGGCTAGCTAAGTTTAAGATAAGACAAATTGAAGACCAGCCTTCCTTGTGCCACATCTTTTGTATTCAACAAAAGTAAATATCATTCTCTTTCTTGGCATTTAGACTAGCAAATAGGTTCCATTATTTTATTGTTGAAATATGTAATCATAAGTTCTATTCTAATATTTTCTTTTCTCACACTTCTCCCTTGTGGAAATCTCTGCTGTCTTCTTGCTTTCCTGTGACCCAGGATCTTCAAAAGTTTAAAGAAATCATCAATTGGCATCTTCTGTCTTTCTGAATCCAGTTCTTTTATTGTCCTTTTTCTTCACTATAACATTCTCATCTTTTTTCACTCTCAGTAATCCCTTGCATCTCAGTGGCATTATCACCTGGTTTGGGGTGAAATGATTTTTAAAAATGTCTAGAGCTTTCAGTCTAACCTGCTTTGGAACCTATATCTGAAAGGAGATGGGTTCATGCCTTTTCCAAGGGCATTAGTACAAAAATAAATACAACACATTAGCTAGGAGCTTGATGTCTAGGATAGCTATTCTATTTTTAATGCTAGCCTATCGCTATTTCTATAGCAAATGTTCTGATAAGTTACCATATTTGACAGCATATAAGGCACATTTGTTTTTACTAAAAATATCTTTTAAAATTCCCTGCATCTTATATGCCATACATAGGTTTAAAATCCGCGATAGTCGTCCGAAATTAGCTACCTGGCAACTCCTATTAGCTTAGACTTTAAAGTAACTTTCATATACCTATTGTCATTATTTAAAGGGCTATTATGCAGATTAAAATTATCATTGATAATCTTCATTATATTAATTTCATCACGTTTAATATTAGTACTTTGTTTCACTAAAATTGTATGCAGTAAATTCAAATTACATATTTGTAAGATATATTTGTTTCATTAATATTTTTCTTGTGATAATTTCAGGTTACATTAGTACAATTACAATCAGAATTTTTATATCCTAATTATTCCATTAAGATGTTTACAAGACGCAGATTGTACGGATCATATAAAGGAAAATTTTTGACTGAATTTTAATGGTAAATGTTTTGCTCAATTGTAATAATTGTTTAATTTTTATTTTGTTTTCTTACCTTTGGATATAATAAAATTTTTATAGGGTGTTCTTTTTTTCTATTATTTTTTCGTTTAATTGTAATCATGGCTTGTTTAACCAAAATGATACCTCATAGCCTAGGCTGTACCATTTACTAATAATTTTACTAATTTTACTAATTATTAATTTTTTCTTGATTTTCCCTGCTGAAATTGGGGTGCGTCTTATACGCACATGCGTCTTATATGCTGTCAAATACGGTACATTCATTAGTAGCACTAATTTTTGCCGTGACAGCTAAGAAACAGCATGCCATGTACACAAGGCCGAACCATCCTCATAACCATCAAATTTCGTTAATAAGAAGGAAACTTCATTCAAACAACTTCTTCAAAAAAACCAATACTTTGAGGAACAAATTTGCAAAAGGATACTTTGTCAAGCACTAGAAAACTTAACCTCTTAACTGTTGTCTTTCCTACATATCCTCATAAACTACCCTTCTTACCTCCTCCTCTTATGCTATTACAACAACCTCCTTCAGTATACCTCTACCTTGAGTGGCTCTTAACCTCTTCAGTTCTAGAGTTAACCCTTGTCTTTCCTACATATCATCATAAACTGCCTTTCTTACCTCCTCCTCTTACGCTCATAAAACAACCTCCTTCAGTAACCCTCTACCTTGAGTGGCTCTTAACCTCTTCGGTTATAGAGTAGACCGTTGTCTTTCCTACATATCCTCATAAACTGCCTGTCTTACCTCCTCCTCTTATGATATTACAACAACCTCTTTCAGTATCTCTCTACCTTGAGTGGCTCTTAACCTCTTCAGTTCTAGAGTTATCTGTTGTCTTTCCTACATATCCTCATAAACTGCCCTTCTTACCTCCTCCTCTTATGCTCATAAAAAACCTCCTTCAGTAACTCTCTACCTTGAGTGGCTCTTAACCTCTTCAGTTCTAGTGTTGACCATTATCTTTCCTATATTTTCTCTTCTTATGCTCATAAAACTTTATTCAGTAATCCTTTACTATGAGTAGCTCTTCCACCTCGTTGCTGTTTTCTTTAAGACTTCAATGTTGCTTATGTACTCTATCCAAGGAATTCTCAGTATCCTTCTGTAGAACCACATTTCTGTGGCCTTCAGTTTTATCCTTGTCCATGACAAAATTATCCAGCATTCACAGCCATATACGAGGATGGATATCATATAGCAATCCAGCTCTTTTTGTTTCTAACAAAATCTTTCTGATTCTCACCACTTTGGACAGCATCTTTCGCTCGGTCGACGCAAGTTTGGAATTCAGAGCCACATTTTCCATCCCTGGTTAAAACACTTCCCAGATATTTAAACTTCTGTACTTGCTTTGATGTTGACTTATCCATATGGCCATATCGAGACGTCCTTATTTTCTACTTTAAACCAATTTCATTTTTGACTAAAAAAAAAAAATAAAATGCACATGACTTTTCTGTTATTATTGACTCGACAGATAAATCAACAATTGAAAGTTGTTCAGCTACTACTAAAGCTACTACTACCACCACCATAATCACAATCTCCACCTCCCCTCCACATTCCCACCTTTAGTGTACTAATTTTACTGCTACCTATCCTACAGGAGATACTATTACGATAGAAGACCATCAGACTGCAATTACTGCTGCTGGTTGCCTTCTCTACTGCTGCTTGCTTTTATACGCTTCGTCTCTTTACTGCTTTACCCGCTGCGATTCTACTGCTAATTCCTCCCCACCCAACACACCCGCTGCATTCTGAACTGTTACTGCTGTTATTGCAGTTGTGAATTTTTTCAATTCTAATTTTCTTTTGTTGCTGTTGTGGATATATTACCATCAGATTTGGATAGAGAATAGATAGATATGAACAGACTGAACCAGATAGATAGATAGATAGATAGATAGATAGATAGATAGATAGATAGATAGATAGATAGATATGAACAGACTGAAATAGATAGATAGATAGATAGATATGAAAAGAATTATATCGATAGATATGGACAGACTGATAGATAGATAGATAGATAGATAGATAGATAGATAGATAGATAGATAGATAGATATGAAAAGAATTATATCGATAGATATGGACAGACTGAGATAGATAGATAGATAGATAGATATGGACTGAGATAGATAGCTAATGAAGAGACTGTGCTAGATAGATCTGAACAGAATGGGATATATATATATATATATATATATATATATATATATATATATATATATATATATATATATCGGGAGAGAGAGAGAGAGATCTGAACAGAATGAAATATGATGAATAGAATGATATAGATAGATATGAATAAAATGAGATGGTTATCATGTTCACCCCAAGCAAGGCACTAAAGCCACTAGAACTCAAGGGGTTACTGGGTGTGGAAGAATTAGAAAACAGAAACATTACTAAGGAGTGAGAACAATAAAAGAATAATCAGAAGGACAGTAGATATCGATTGACGTTGCATTTAAATTTTTGAGGATTAAAATTGGCTGGAAGGCATGGAGCTGGAAGGGAGTTCCACAAGTGAGAAGTGCAAGGAAGGAAACTGTTAGCATTGAACTTACAGCCACCTCAACTGTAGATTGATGAGATCTCGACGTCAGTCTAGTACTGCGCTTAAATTCATAAAGTTTACGTACCTCATCAAAGAGTTCATGCAAACAATAAGCACAAAAGTATTTATAGAAAAGGCACAGGGAGGCCACTTTACAGAAGTGGGGAAGTGACAGAAGCCAACCCACAAGACCAGGACCAATGATATTGGCGATTCTTCTTTGGATTTTATCAAGAATCTCCAAAATATATGGCAGGAGTACCAGACCAGATGTGGCAGCAATATTCTAAGCATAGATGAATGGTAGACTTATAGATATCTAAGATAGATTCTGGAGATAAAAATTGTCTTGCATGACATAGTGAAACAACTTTCTTTTCAGCTGACCTAGAAATGGATTCAATATAGTCTTTCTACTTCATGTCAGCTGAGAACATTAGCTTGAGATGGCACAATTATCACCATCTTTTGTCTTCCTGAAACCTGTTCTTTTATTGTCCTTTCTCCTCACTAAAGTCTTCTCATTCTCTTTCACTCTCAGTAACCCCTTGTGTTTTAGTGACATTATCGCCATTTTCTGTCTTCCTGAAACCTGTTCTTTTATTGTCCTTTCTCATCACTAAAGTCTTCTCATTCTCTTTCACTCTCAGTAACCCCTTGCGTTTTAGTGACATTATTGCCTTGCTTGGGGTGAAGTTATTTAAAAATAAAAACTGTTGCCCCAACTGCATACATGCAGTTATATTGCATTTATATATGCAGGTTATCATGTAGCTATTAATTGTATTGTTGCATGTTATTTTACAAGTTTCAATTTAATGACAAACAATTTAATAAGCATTTCCAATTTTATCTCGCTTGGCTACAAATTCCTGTTGAGAAGTGATGATCATAAAGCAAAAATTCTTTTTTAATCAGTAAAAAATATTCAAAGAAAAGTAATACAAAGGACACAAAAAATTAATATATCAGCAACCTGCTATCACTATTTAGTAATGAACATATTTTAAATCATTAAAAAAAACAAAAAAAAAACAACTAATACAAACGAGACAAAAAATTATATCAGCATCCTGATTTCCCTGTCTATTAATGAGAATTCCAATTTTCAAATCATTAAAAATAAAATTATGCAAAGAAAAAATAAAATTATCCAAAGAAATATAGAATTATCCGAAGAAAAAATAAATTTATCCAAACAAAAAATAAAATTTCCAAAGAAAAACAATAAAATTTCCTAAGAAAAAAAATAAATTATCCACAGAAAAAAATAAAATTATCCAAAGAAAAAATAAAATTATCCAAAGAAAGCTACAAAACGAAACAAAAAAGAATATTTTAATGGTTTTACTGTAAAAGAAATTCAGTATTTTAACTCCAGTCAGTCAGTTAAATGTCATACGGGTCTCTTTCGATTCATGACTGACAAGGCAGAAGATTTTCCCGCAGTAGTTTGCCGTTTCTTTCTGCGGTAGAATGGTTGCCACCCAAGGCTATAGAACTCAGTCTGCCCTACTATCTAACTCATAGTATGAGGTGGGAGAGAGAAAAGATGGACCAATACCTTTCCCAAAGGTATATTGTGCATATTTAAGGTAACAAATTCGACTGGAATTCGAACTCGGTTCTCCGATTTCTCATCCCGAGCCGATATCCATTACACCACTCACGCACATCCACTACACCACCCACGCATATCCATTCCGCCACCCACGCACATCCTAAAAATGTTAATACAAACGAAACCCTACTCCTAAAGAAGCAATATATTAGTAATCTAGTTTCATTGTTTTGCAAGGAAAATTCCGATATTTAGATCATTAAATATAAAAATATTCTAAGAAAGATAATATAAAAAATATATATATATATATATATATATATATATATATATATATATATATATATGTGTGTGTGTGTGTGTGTGTGTGTAAGGAAATATATGGATATAGATCCGACAGTATGAAGAAAAATATACAGAAAAAACAAACAAAAATCTTAATATGCAATTATGCTGTATTAATGTTAATATAAAGTTGACGTCAAATATGTCCTGATGATGGTTTAAATAGACCGAAACGTCCGACGTTAACATTATATTAACATTAATACAGCATAATTGCATACTAAAATTTTTGTTTGTTTTTTTTTATATTTTTTTTATATATATATATATATATATATATATATATATATATATATATATATTAGAAACCTGATCTCACTATTCAGTAATGAGAATTTTGATTTTTAAATTATTAAACAAAGTACCTAAAAAGAATGTAAAGAAACCAAAAGCAAAATGTATTAAAAGTATTATTTTCCTTATTCAATAATGAGGTATTCACTTCACGGAGTTTGGGTTATGACTTAGCTTAAAATAGAATCATATATATCAATACTAAGTAATGAAACCAATAAATATATAAAATCACGTTTTGTTTTATATCTATTACGATAAAATATTATTAAGATAAAATATTACAATCAAAGATATAGTTAGGAAGAAAAATAGAACACTACATCAGATGCTGGGATTTATGTAAAAAAAACGCCTACAATGTAGAAAAACTTACATTGGCGAAACATCTCGGAATCTAAAAGATCGCATCTATGAATATAAGAGAGAATTACGTTGGGACAAGCCTTCAAATTCGTTCATAATACACAAAAACAAAACTGGCCATAACTTTGATTTTATAAATGCCACCCTTATTAGAAAAGAACATAATTCTTTGTCTAGGAAATACTTCGAGGGAGTCCTAATAAATATTTTACCATCACGTCAAACATACTTTATAATATCACCGACTTTTATAAAAATCTATATTTAAAGAGTCTAGGATATGTCTATCTACTACTACAACTGGTGTAACTTAAATTTTTCCGCTTACACAAAACATCAACAAATCAACATGAGGACAACCACCAAACATGGATAAAAATGCCTACTAGATACATGTGCGCGTGCACACACACACACACACACACACACACACACACACACACACACACACACACACGCACACACAAGAATATACATTATAATCCCGCGTAGACAAACTAGAATTATGATACACAGACACACATGAATTATACACACAAACGCTGCTTGACAAGACAGATGCGCATGAAGTCTGCTTGACCAATACCAGCATTTTCTTTAAAAAAATGTCTAATAGACACACACACATACATAAGCACACACACACACAAAAAAAAAAAAACACGAATATACGTAATCATTTGAATCCCACATAAACAAACTAGAATTATGATACACATACACACATGAATTATATATACAAACGCTGCTTGAAAAGACAGATATGCCTGAAGTCTGCTTGACCAATACCAGAATTTAAAAAAAATGTCTTATATAGAGAGAGAGAGAGAGAGAGAGAGAGAGAGAGAGAGAGAGAGAGAGACGAATATACATTATCATCTGAATCCCAAGTATACAAACTAGAATTATGATATACATACGCACAGGAATTATGCACACGCTGCTTGACAAGACAGATGTCCGTGAGGTCTGCTGAACAATTAAAAAACAAGTAGCACAAAAAGAAAAAAATAGCAAAATTTTCTTTCTTTTTCTCTTCCTTATTTCATTTTATGAGGAAGCTTTAATTAGAGCGAAACATGTTATTTTTTTTTTTTTACAGTAAGGTTCGCTCTGTAGAAGGCCCGGTTAAAACGTTAAACTCGAACAGGTCAAGATTGTAGCGATCAGGGAAACATCCTCATGGGCATCTGTTCCACAGAGCAGTGGTTCTCGGGAAGAAGCTGTTTGTGTGAAACTTTTCGCCGATGGAATACGGAGGGAATGTGGGTGGTTTGCTACTATGTGTCATTGTGGGTCCTACCCGCGAAGGTTAGACCGAGCGGAACGAAAGAATATAGTTCGTCCGATCTCTTTCCATGGCAGTAACGATAGAGACTCACCACACCCCGCCTGTGAGTGTCATGTTGGAAGGTGGAAAATAATTCTTCTTCAATAAGGACTCGGAGACTGTAAAGTGAGGACTAGACAGTTCCCACCCAAATATGGCAACAGTATTCCATTTGGGGCCTGATTTTGTAAAGGTAGTGGATAGTATGAGGAGTTAGGTACTTACTGGAGCGGTACAGGGAAGCGATCTTTTTATACCGCATCTTTAGCAATGGGTCATATGTACGAGTTCCTTTTGAGATCATGTGTGAGTTTAAGGCCACAATGTCTCTAAAAACACCACACCTCCCCGAGGTGTCATATCTGCTGACATATCTCAGATCCTGACTTTGGTAAAATAGCCGTTATTCATTTTGGCTCGCCCAGGAATATCAGATTTTACAATGTAGAATTGCTTAAGCGTAAGCTGGATGTTTTGACTAATATTTTCTAGATCATTTTTTTTTAAATCAAGTTCACCCCAAACAAGGCAGTAAAGCCACTAAGGCACAAGGGGGTGTGGAAGGATTAGGAAATGGAAACATTATTAAGGAGAGAGAGCAATAGAAGAGTAATCAGAAAGACAATAGATAATGATTGACATTGCATTTAAATTTTTGAAAATTAAATTTCGCTGGAAAGCATGGAACCGGAAGTGAGTTCCACCAGCGAGAAAAGAAACTGTTAGCATAGAACTTACGACTATATCTAACCAATACTCGATACCTGTTTAGTATTGCGCTTAAATTCATAAAAATCTAGGTACCACAACGAAGAGCTGATCCGAATGATTGCCATTAAAGTATTTATAGAAAAGGCACGGAGAGGCAACCTTACAGCGGTGGGCAAGTGACTGAAGCCGAGCCGCCAGATCATGACTAGTAATATAACTGATTCTTCTTTGGATTTTATCAAGGAACTCAAGGTAAATAGCAGGGGAACCGAACCATAAGTGGTAGTAACATTCTAAACCTAGGCGAATGGTAGATTTACAGATATGTAAGATAGATTCTGGAGAGAAAAATAGTCACGACACAATGAACAAACTTTCTTTGCAGTTGACCTAGCAATGGATTCAATCTAGTCTTTCTATTTCATGTCAGCTGAAAACGGTAGCCCAATATATATATTTAAGTAATTCATCGAGTCTGAAAGAAACCTCAACAGGCCGTTTCATCCTATATTTGGGACTTCATCAGTAGTGCGCATCCACTACCGGGAATTGGAACCGTGACAGTTCGGTTGTTAAGCAAACATCATACCAACTGTTACACTGGGCCTGCATTCTGTTGAGGTTTCTATCAGATTCGATGAATTACTTAAATACAATTATCAAATCCTCCTAATAATTTCTATCATGTACATCATCGCTTGAACCGGCTTCTAATGCTCTAGAGTGAGCGGCTTGGTGAGAGTAGTCGTGGCTCCAGGGGGCACAGTCCTATGGTTACAGAGAACTCAGTAAGAGTTCCACCACGGAATATGTGAGCGAGCGGCGCTATATTGAGTCTGATTTGCAATATCTTCGTCATCGAGACCCGTTGGAACAGTTGGTATGATGTTTGCTTGACAACCTAACTGGTAGGGTTTCAATTCTCGGTAGTGGATGCGAACTGCTGATGAGTCCCAGATATAGGACGAAACGGCCGTTCAGTTCTTTTTGCATCCTATTGAGGTTTCTATCAGACTCGATGAATTACTTAAATATAATTATCAAATCCTCCTAATAATTTCTATCATATATATATATATATATATATATTTTGCACAATAAAAAAATAAAAAATTAAAATCTTTAGACACACTGGGTTGTAGATTAATATTCTTTCGTTTTTTTATTATTATTATTCCATTTAGATCTCGACTAGTATATATATATATATATATATATATATATATATATATATATATATATATATATATATATATATATATATATATATATAGAAAACTTCAATATAATTGAATTAAAGTACCAAGCTCTGTCCCATCTTCAAGCGAAATGTTTGGAATAACTAATTCGTTTTTATAAGCATATTATTCATTATTAAAATTAAAATTACTATGGTAACGACTAGAGAAATTATTTAAAGAAAAGGGGCGTAAGGGTTAATAATTTGTATCAATATCTCAGTTACATTCAAAGACGTCAAGCCAGGGTAAGGTTGGGGTGTCTAAGGAATCATATTTTTAAATAAATAATTATATTTCGGCTCTACCTTTGTATTGAGCGGTGTTTTTTTTTTTTTTTTTTAATAATAACAAAAATACTAAAGAACTTTGGATTATTTACCTAACGAGTTCTTTCCTATTTTCTATATATTCCCCCATATATATATATATATATATATATATATATATATATATATTCTATAAAGGTTATAGTTAGTGGCTGTATGCGTTGGAATAGTGTTCAAGGCTCTAGATGGTTGGTTATAGTTAGTTGGCTGGTCCTGTTTTTTTTGTTTTTTTTATACAACTTAATGCCTAACGGCCGAGAGAAACAAAGTCTTACTAAAGCAAATGAGCGGGAATTGGAAAGTGTAATCAGGTGGACAGTTGATAGCGATTGACATTGCATTTAAATTTTTGCAGATTAAAGTTGGTTTTAAAGCATGGAATGAGAAGTGCTCCACAAGTGAGAAGTGCGAGAACAGAAACTGTTAGTATAGACCTT